CATGCTTTATTATATAATATAATACACATGCTAAGATTATTTAGAAAATATTAATAAATATATAAATTATATTTTTAAAACAAAATCACAATATATTTTGTAACTTTAGGAGCTTATAAATTTTGGTAGAACTTATAAATTTTTATATTTTTATTAACATATACTAATATTATTTTTTATCCAATAATGATTCTTGATTCTTTTATCAGTTTCGATTTTTTGTTAAACTTAATTTTAGAAAATATTAATTATTAGATTAAAAAATAAGTATATTATCTGCTGTGATGAGACATAATATAGAGAAGAAATAAAAAATGCTTAATTTTTTACATTTTATATTATACATTTTATATATTATACATTTTATGTTATTTTTGTGTAATTTATGCAAAAATTATGAACAAGATTTAACAGATATATAATATTTTGTTTTATTCTAAGTTTAATGCATCTATATATTAGTTGTTTTATTTATTATTTAAAATTTTTAAGATCTATATTATTCAATAACAAAAATTAACAAAAATAACATCAGGTCTATTCAATTTTGTCAAAATCGGCTTTTATATTTGATACCAGTGCAAAACAGGTAAGTAAATAAATAAATAAATAATAGATGTATGCATGTATGCATATATGCGTATATACTCGTAACATGTCCGGCTGATATTGACTACATGTTTCTTGTCTGGGTTTATTCCCCATAATTCATTCTTGAACGCGTCGATACACGCTTTGCGGAACGAACAATATCGAAAGAAAAAGACTTGTCAGATTGGCAGCATGCTTGAGGCAGTTTTATATAGTGTGCAATAAAACTATTGTCGAATATCCATATTTGACAAAACATGGAGTGATGTATCATTGTAAATTTTTGAGTAACATATCTTTGAAATATCTCCGAAAAAGATGCAGTAGTTAAAATATTTAAACGAGTTTTGTATTCAAATTAAAACTAAATTGAAATAAACATTTTGTATCTAATACAGAAGTAAAATGTAAATATAAAGAGAAAGTATGTGTTTTCCAAATTTGTATTAAAATTCACTGATTTTAAAATGGATATCAAGAATGTATAAACTAAAATTATATATACTACTGAAAAAAAATGAGAATATATACGTATGTATTCTATATTTTTGTATGTATAATCTCCTGTTTAAAATGGAAGCAGAAAACTTCTGTATTGTACCGATATCAGATCAATAATGGTCTTGTTGTTAGAAGACAGATGTTTTATACCTTGTTTGGATATATTTGTTTCTGCAAGTATGCTCGCAAACATTTTGCATTATTTTGTGTTACTACGAGAAAACGTTACGTTTTTCAGGAAACGAACTCGAACTCTCAACGAACGAGGCGAGATTCATAAAACAATGATTTCACCATTTGGGACTCGCATGTTGAACATCGGTAATATATTAGATATTATTGCAAAGGAAAGGCGTTATGAATCCACGAAAAAAAAGTACGAGAGGTAGTTTAAGCCATAAGCAATAGTCGACTATTTTCTGAAATTATTGAAATTAATCTGGATTTTTTAAAAAATTTCAGTTTTTGAATGAATTAATTTTTAAATAACACGAGACATGGTACAAATCACGAAAATAAATGATTTAGCACGTTGAGCGATATTTTTCTCGCATCAGTCTATTACGTTAAACCATATTTATGTACATGAAATACACTGCGTTAATGTACTTTGTGTACATAAATGTTGATTTCCCCACGGAAGAAAAAGGATTAACTTTTTATTTCATTTACGAACGAATTCTAGCCACAGCTTTCCAAATATACTTTTTGCTTTAAATAGACGATGAAATGTTAAAAATATTGTACAATTTCATGACGTTGCACATGCAACATCATTTTTAATTAAATGTATGTTTATCATGTGCAAATCGCCTATTTATAAAATGGAATTGTATCGTAATAAAAATTTGATAATATTTTATTTTCTATGTTTGTTTCAACAGAAATTTGTGACCTCAAAACTCATGCAAACTCAACTTTAAATATTTTTCCAATTCTATCTTGCATTTTCATTTCTAAAATAATTCTATTTCTCCTGTATTCCTCAATTGATTAACTAGTTTTCATAGATTTTTACATTAGATGGTTATTATAAAAGAGAGAGCATTCAAGTGAGATCTTACAAAGAGTTACGATGTTTGACCGTCGAAAAGGATCTGAAAGCCCTTTTTTCGCCTGCCACATCATCCCTCAGTAACCTCAAGGGAAGTTAGTGTACCCGTTTTCGCGACCTTCGTCATTTGCTCCCTCTTCCTGCCTACCTTTCTCCCGTGGAAATTTTCTTCCCGGTCGTTCTAACAGAAGCAGTCTTTTTTCTTCGCCTGAAACTCCGAACAAATGCATCTCACGCGAGTTGTTTTTTCTCCGCTCCGGAACGCATCAATCTCCCTGCGCGAGCTGGCCCATCCGCGTTCGACGGCGGAGAGGCGGCTTTCTCGAAGCTTTTAGTCGTCGGGTATGCTATACGAATAGAGTGTTTCGGAAACGGACAGGTGTTCTACTAATGATAGGTAAATGTATTGGCGGTAAATCAACACATATGTTCTCTAAAATAAGAGCTCAAAGCTAATAATATTTTTTTTATCAAAAAATACGCGAAAATGGCATGTCGCATCGAATATATATATATATATATAGAAAATAACGTGAAAATCTCGTGAAATTAATTATACAATACCTCAAATACGTCATATGTAAATATCTCATTATATTAATTATCTATTTTATCTTGCATTTTGAAATTGAAATTTCGTATTCATACATGTTAAGAAAAATTTAATGGTTTTTTATAAATTATTATCACGGTATCACTATTATATTATAATAAGTATACCATGATGCGCTAATAATAGCGGGAAACATTTTGCAGAGGTTTCTTCGCTGCAAAATGACGTAGTTTTGAAGCTTCCTTGCATCATTCCTCAAGAGCTCGTCAACATTCATCTACGACAGCCCTGATACTCGACATGCACTCTCATAAGAGCATCTACCGTTAAATAAGTCTCCCTCTTGTACACGAAGGCCGGGAAGAGACGACGAAACTTATATTAAACCTTAGAATTACCTAAGATCTTTTAGAAATTTCTCCCGAGATTGCGCTTATAAATTTTCTGTGAAATTTTGGTGTTTTCTAAGAAGCCTTGGTAAACATTATATCCATCTAGAAATTATATTGACAATGTTATCCCGTAACTGCAGCCCGCAATTTCCCCGTTTTCATTTTGCAGAAACATTTGTATATATGTATGTTTCGAGATATTGAAATAACAACGTTTTGAAGGTACGATGGAACATGTGTATACTTGATACCAATTCGATGTTGTTTTTCGTCGCTTTCATCCTCCATTATCACTTGTCAGTCTTTGCTCTTGTGAAATTTCATTTTGTGACTCTTATTCTTTCTCGAGTTTATCAAAATGCATCCACAAGGTCCTTGTTCATGAGTCTCAACGGATACTCTTGTAAAAGCATTTGCCGTTAAATAAGTTCTCTTTCTAACGTCGAAGTACAAGCTCGCGGAGTAACGAGACTTTTGAGAGCCCTCGACATTAAAAGGCGTATCTCGTACGCGACGTGAGCCGAAGTAGATGAGCAGCAGGCACAGAAATATTGCGACAGAATATTTACCGTATATCAAAGAGTTAGAAATCTGGTAATAGAATTGGCGGAAATTTGCCAGGTTCACTGTTTGCCCGTCCGATCTCTTGATTTCTATTGGTTTACTGATTGCCTTCGCGTTGTGAGAATTTTAACTATCGACCGCCCCTGAAATACGCGAAACTTACGGGTAGCGACTCAAACGAAGCCAATAGGAAGAAAATTTCTTTTCTTCACTTCTGAAGAAAATTAGATCACTCTTAGAAGTAATCTTGTCAGACGTTTTAAGCATCGATCTGAGCAAGTAAAGGATGTAAACATGTTGAAAACATAAATTTCTCCTTTTTTCTTCCTTTGCGCAAATGTTTTAATAAGTCTTTATTGTATGCGATATTTCTCTGGAAAAGTGAATAAATATAAATCTCGCATTTTCTACGAATAACTTAGAATTATTCGGAATTAATAGCAGAAATTAGCAGCGAAAACGGTAATAACGGCAAAAGCGTTAATTATATCGAAACCTCAAAAACGTGTTAAATATCTCTCGCTCGCGGCATTATCGTTTTTCTCTCTCGCGGAGTCGTTAGTTTTTAATCGTCGAAACAAGCACACGATACGTTGCGGCACATCGATGCGTACACGAACCTAACTCTCAACTTCCTCCAAACGCGGAGGCGCGCATCCGCGTTTGCGAAAGATAAATAACGCGAAAATCGCATTTGGCCGCCGTCCAAAATACGAAACATCCCGTCGCTCGACAAGGGGTGCGTTATTAAATTCACGGGTCTCAAATTCCCGCGGCCGCCATCCCGGATCATTTAAATCCCTTTTCAGCTAGTTAAAATATCACGCGAATTCCGAGGCACTCGCGGGAAAATTATTTTGCACGGAGAGAAATAGGTGGAGATTTCAGTTTCATTTTCATGCGAGGGCGTCACGCATGCGGCGCGTTTAATTTTCTACAAAACGGTGGACCGACTTTATTTATTTCGACGCGAGACATCCAAATTTGCTGCGTGAGAAAAATATGAGCATAGAATCGAATTTATTTAATATCGCATGGATCTCGGATTTTCAATTGCGATGAGAAAAAGATGAAGAAAAATGAAGTTGCACATTTAACAGATAAACAAAAATTTAAATTTTATGTTGCTATTATTTTATTACCTGTAATTATTATTCATGTATATTTGATCCTTCGGATTCTTATTTATAAAATAATTTTAAGAAATAATTTTTTGTACATCTTATTACAATTTCATAGCTTTGGTATATCATTTTTATATTAATGTCGAGAACATATTATTATGTACTAAATAGCTTCTAATATTAAAGTTATTTTAAAAGACTGAAATAATTTCTAAGAAGATTATACATTAATAATTTGTAGAAAGATGCATTATACTGCACTTCTTTATAAATACCAGCAAAATACATGACGATGTAGAATTTTCCTTTTTCAAAGAAAATAATCATAAAATTCATATTTTTCTATGAAAACAAGAAAGATTCCAACAAGAATGAAAACAAGAATAATTTCCTAAGTTAATAACAGAGATAATTATAGTTTTTTACTAATAACGAACCATTTGATGTTTATTTAATATATCCGTAATATATTTGATAATTACGGATAGAGTTTCCGGAAGTCATCAATGTTGTTTATGTTGTATGGTTTCGCAGATTATCTCTATTTTCAGTGTAAATCTGTTGTTTCAGTTGTCACGCATAAAGGCTATTCGGTTTCGTGGTTAACAACAGCCACTAATGAAGGAATAAAATATAATTAATCGTAATCCGAAGTTCGTGCCAAATAACTTTACACATGTGATCATCAGATATCGCGTATCTCATGTAGATAGTAACTTATAAAGACATTATTTTTTCTTAATCTAGGATATTTATCTTATCTACGTTGCCAATTAATGCGATATTTTCACTAGTAATACTCTAGTTTAATCAATTTAATGGTCAACGCGGTGCATTTCTGCAATTTATATTTAGAGAAATTTATTAGGAAAACGAGGAAAAATTGTACTGTAGCGTATATTGCAAATAGTCATATCAGTTTTTCTTAACATCTTTAGAATTTTTTTTCACGATTTTCACGATTCCTGTAAGCTCTACAATGACGATTTATGAAAATAATTCAGATACCAAAGTGAAGTTGCATCTCAGGCAACTATTGACAGGTCTGGGATCACTGTTGGGAGCCGTCGCGTCCGGTATGTCAAATGGTTACAGTGCGATTCTTCTTCCACAACTGAAGACAATTTCATCCAACGAATCTTCATACGAATCTACGGATGCGGATCACTTTGGAGAGCTCAATATTGATCAAGAATCATGGATCGCAGCAGCTGTAGTTCTGCCATTAACCCCGGGATGTTGGACCGGTGGATTCATGGCTGAAAAATTCGGCAGGAAGATGTCAGTGATGCTGGTGTGTCCTGTTTATTTTGTCGGATGGCTGATTATCGGCCTCGCTAACGGTGTGACTAGTTTGATAATAGGTAGACTTCTCTCTGGGTATTGCATGGGAGTCTTGGCATCGATATTTCCGATTTATGTGAGTGAAACAAGCGATCCACTGTTACGTGGCATTCTGCTGGGGGCGGTCAGTTTGACCCTCGCCATTGGTACATTGGCATGTCACGCGATGGGAACTTGGTTGCATTGGCGTACCACAGCATATATCTGCAGCGTGTTGCCCATAATTTGTTCGATTGTTAACATCTACGGAAAAGAGAGTCCATTATGGCTACTTGGTAAAGGCAAGATGGAGGAGGCAAAGCGTTGCTGGATATTCCTTTATGGCATAGAATCACTCGAGGAGTTCTCCCTGTTGGAAACCACCAGACTTACGGAAATATCGAGAAAGAAAACCAAGAAACGATCGTTACTGCGTTCGCTCAGGAAAGCTTGGTCCTCACGGTACTTCCTGAGGCCTTTTGGCATCGTTTGTCTATACTTCTTTACCACGCAGTTCGCGGGCAGTAACGTAACGACTTTCTACTGCGTTGAGATGTTGGCGGATGTTTCGGATCCGGCATACGCGTATCTGATAACGTTGACCATCGACGCGATACGTTTGATATTCTCCGTTCTGGTGTGCGTTCTTCTGAAAATATGCCGCAGGCGCACTATGACGTTCATATCCGGCTTCGGTGTAGCTATCACCATGTTATCTTTGAGCGTGTGTTTGACATTTGATATTGGAAGACCTTGGAGTCCCATGATTTTACTCGTCATTTATGTCGCACTGCTGCCATTGGGACTGATTCCCTTACCCTGGATGCTTTGCGGTGAACTGTTCCCGAGGAAGTACCGTGGGCTCGGTTCCGGCTTAACGTCCGGCTTCGGCTTTATCTGCTTCTTCGCGGTGATTAAGACAATGCCGCCTATGATGGAATATATAAAGGCCGAAGGTACATTCGCCGTTTACGGCTTTGTGGCATTAATCGGAACTAGTATTTTATATTTTGTTCTTCCGGAAACCAAGAATAAAACTTTGCAGGAGATTCAGATGTTTTTCGACAAAAAATCTCACGCATCAAGAGCGCAAAATGTGGATATTCCATTAAATGAGTACACCTCTTCTGATAAAAATGAAGAGTTGAATAAAAAAATATCGCATGATAATGAATGATAATTGTTTAATATATGTATACGGAGATTATAAAGTATAATATATATTTACGTAAATTGTATAATTCATTTATTTTATATGATGTGAATACAAATCAAGTTTTTAAGACAAAATCGTTGTTCTTTCAGCGTATTGTATTAAGCATAACATAAGGTAAACGTGTCTGTATCACGTATCACGTCATTTCTCTTTGTGTTATTTTTGAAAAATTTATATAATATATAAACTGAAACTTGGATTGAGATCGCTGGACTTCAATTTGCGACAAAACATATGACGGTAATGTGAATGCACTACCGCAAGCAATTTCGCGGTGCCGTAAGTGACGACGCGACGCATCCTTCGGCCGGATATATTTCGGACGTGCCGTAAAATTAACCGATGCGTCGAAATAATGACTCTGCGGCTGTCAGGACGAAACGGCGAGAGCAATAGAAATTTAACTGCGAACCTTGCCGGACCGTAAAATTGCATTCTCACGTGATTATTGCTCGGACCACTTACCGCAGCTGATGGAAATTACGGTTCGTCGTGGCGCGGTTCGCGTGACGTTTTGCGGGTCGCACAATGACTTAGGCGCGTACATAAGTGAAATATGATGGCAGTGCTGTCGGGGTTATTAAAATGCGAGGAATCTTGATCTATTACCCTTTGTCGAGATTTTGAGGCGATGAAGATAAAGATCGCCCCTGGTTCTCGGTTGATAGATGTGTCCGTTACTGCATATAACGCGTACGCGTAGATATCAAAGTTTCTTAATAGAAATTACACGTTTTCGATTTTAATTCCTACTGTTTTTTTTTTTTGCGTCACATGCGAATTGTCATAAATTATATGATCGATTATTTAATTTAATAACGACGTGATTAAATCTTGTCTTTGTTACTTAATGATAATCTATAGATGTATCTTTAAGGTATCATTACTTCTCTTGATACGATTTCAATCTCGAAGCATCAAAGGTAAGCGCAATAAAGAATCACGCTAAACTTCGATGGTTTTTCTCTTTTTAATTTCATTTTCAATCCTAACTCATTGCCCTCTTTTCTTCAACCTCGCTCTTACTTGGCTCGACTCGCGTTGATTATTGCAAGCACGCAAAGCGGTCGTTACATTATCCTTGCTTCTTTTTACTACAGCCATTTTTGATCGGTACTCTTCTTCGATCAAAACTCAACAATTTCTGACAAGCTATCGAACGGAAATTTTGCGGCAGTGAAATGCCATTCATATTACAATAGCATATATTGCATATATGCATATATTCTTTTTCTTTATTTTTATAATAGTTTTGTATATTAACTAATAAATTAAATAATATGCATATTTATAATTAGCTTATCGAATTAGTTAGTTTAAGGATATTGGAAACGAGCACATTGCTGCCAAAACAAGAAGTGTGATAATTTGAAAGATTTCATGATCAGTGACTGGGAATGAAAAGTCGACGATATCAAACGTGATTTATGACGATAAGGACAATCTCGGCCCAATTTCCCACGCGCGACGTGCCTGAACTGCATATAATCTTCATGAATGCGTAATGACCCGTCGTGTGTCCTCTCCCGTGGCCCATTCAGGAAGGTCTCGTGTAATGGAGGGGAATAAAAACTAGGTGGTCTCTACGCGATAGCGTCGCGCCAATGGCGCTTTTTGCGTCGACGATGAAGCACTTCAGGCTCCTCTTCGATCTACCTGAGGAGCTTAACGGTGGAAAATGCAGTCGAGCGAGAACGTTTAGCACTCTCGATTTGAGACGATTTGTACTGGCTCAGATCAAGTTCCAGATCACCATATTATAAATATATACTGCAATTGCAATTCAAAAAATATTGTTGCAAAATGCTGTATGAATTTTTAATATATCTGAATTGTGCTCAACACATCGATAAAAAAATCCATTGGGCAACATATTGTAAAAGTAATGGAATTTGCTTTGAAAAACAAAAGTTAAATCAGCAGTAAAATTTGCTTCGAAAAATGAAGGTTGAATCAGACAGAAGGGAAATAAAATATTGCGGATTAGGGAATTTGTTTGTCGATTTACTGTCGTTTTTCAAATCAAACATCAAATATTATATTCGCAAATATCAACTAAAATATGTGTTAACTTCTGTTACGAAAAGTAATTTTTTGTTATTCTTTTACATTTTACATTTTAGCATTTACATTTTTTAGCCCCGAAAAAATAATAAAAACTCGAGCTAACATTTATAGTTTCACGCAATGCTAATTTCGCGATAACGTGATAGTCGCGTGCAATCTGGCATGGTGATAAAAATATAAGTAGACGATCCCAAATTTATCAGTTGAAATTGTAAGCGTTTTAGCTTGACGGACTTGCGTGATGTGAGAGTTTACTCCATAAACATTTTTCGCGGTCTATTCATCATCGTCCACCGTTTTTCTGTTTACGATTCAGAAATAATACTTGACATTGCATATTTGTTGCGACGTGATTAGTTCACGATCTGTCTTGCCATTGTTTGTCTAGAAAATGTAGATTGCTTGGAAAAATTTAGGTGGTTTCTGTTTCGCTCGACGCAATAAAGTACAACTCCATTTGCATTAAATTTTTCAAACGCCGCTGTAAGCCATACTTTTTATCGCGACATCGCGGCATAGTCGCATCGCTTAAAGCATAACCGCTGTATATGCGTGTTTTTTTCCCAAGGGATGTGTGCTTTGTTCGGCTTAATAAATCGTATTTGCGACTATTTATAGTACAATCCCGGTAATCGCGGACTTCTTTTTGACATACGTTTCGCGCAAGGCTAATAAATTGCGATTATATGTGTTGGTGGTTTCCACTCACATTATTATCTTCTGTGCTTTACATGATCTTACAATCGCAAAATTCACATATACAATCTGTCTTTATAAAAAATTTATCATAAACCTTATGATCAATTTTTTTATAAAACCTTTCGTTATTTGTAAGATGTTTTACAAGCTCGAAGCTCAAGCAGAAGCATCTCAGTCGCGTGTCGGCAACCTGTCACTTCTGGTAAAAAACTCTCCGATGTCATTAGAAAATTTATACGAGTTAGAGGACAGAATGTTGATTAAATC